GAGGATTAAGTCAATGCAACGTAAGGTCTGTGGATTTTGTGGAGAGTCCACGTAGGACATGTAGTATGCGTCAGTCCATTCTGTCTGACGTTCTGTCCCCCATGGCCTGTCTCATGGAACGGACAAAGACTCAACAGCCGTCCTGTCTCACAGATCAGTGGATCGTCGGTCTATGAACCCTAGACCCTAAACCCTGGACCGACTTGCACTTCTGACAGAAACAAGCACAAAGGTGTGCTCCACGGCCTGGCAAACTCATCTATTGCAATACGTGTGGTAGTGCCGGGTGAATGTGTATACACGAGTGTCACCGCAGACGTATAGTGGTATACACGCAGAGGTCCGCACGAGAGTCAAACAACACAAAACTGCACCACCACACCACACACATGACACCAGCCACACACAACACCATAGGTGAGATGGACAGCGCTGTGTGTGTAGGGGTGGGGCGAATAGCGTACCAGCGGTCCATGCACCGTATGCCCTGATGGCCCACCCACACCAAACACGACACCACAGACGTAAGGTCACCCTGCACCACCATCCACACGCACAGCGAGAGAGAGAGAGAGAGAGAGAGAGGTGATGGATGGAGTAAGCCATATGTGATGGCCTGCGTGCGGGTGACATACCAGCAGTGTAGGGTAACACACTCGTGGTAACCCAGTCAGCCAGACACACCATGGAACGACACCCTGCACCAGCACACCATCCAAACACAGAGTGAGGTGATGGATGGTCCGCATCTCATGAATCGGTGCGTACCAGTAGTAGTGAGTAGTGTTCCCGGTACGTACAAGCCAAAACCCAACAACCACACGACACACCCAACCTGAGAACACCATGCACACGACAGCTCAGATCAGTTTCACGAAGTGTGCTCTAGGCTGAAAGCTGAGCTGGAGGGTGGTTATCAGCTCCCAATTTCACGGCGCGGAACCAACTTTTTTTCTGGGGGTCTCTTCAAGATCTGTTTTCTGATTTATGTGGAGGGGGTCATTGCGAGGAACGAGTTTGCTTCGAGCTTCAAATCCGTTCACGCGTTCGCACGAAAAACGTCGGCAAAAACCCGGACAATCGGGTTTTGGCTGTTTTCTCCCGGGTTTCTGGTGCGTTCGACGCGCAAGTCTGTGTGTGAGTGCTTCTCTGTCTGCTCTGTCCTCACGCGCGCGGCCATCGCTCTGCGCTTTGTGAAAAACGACGCTGCCGTCAACGCAAATCACCACGACTGTGTCAATGCATGAATTGTTAAGTAGATGCATGAAACGGGCGACGAAGTTCGTCTAAGCATCAGTTCGTATCAAGCAAGCGAAGGGAAACAATACATGCAGAAACAATGGACAGCGTTCGTCGACTGTGAAAACATGTCGCACACTGCGAACAAGCGTGAGACATGCAACATGACACACATTCAGAACCCAGGTCCAGCCAGCCATCTCACAGCCCCGCAGCGGGGCTGGTATGTGGCCTGTATGGCCCGCGGCTGACGAAGTCCTCAGGAAACGCGCTGGCCCTCCGTGGCCCTCTGGCGGCCGCCGCGCGCTGCGCGCGACTCGCCACTTGGAACGCGTTGTGCTTCATCAGCTCGACGGACAGGAGCTGGCTCCAGTGGTTGACGATGCTCTCTCGGAAAGCTGTGTCCTCCTCCATGGGAATGGATGTGGGGCGAGGCTTTCGTTTGGCGAGCATCTTGAGAAAATCCATGGTCTTGTCTCCCCATCTGCCGAATGTCTCCGCAGCGAGGGGCACAAAGCGGAAGCCGGCTGCTTGGGTGATTGGTCCATA